CTCACATGACTATTAACAGTTATCAAAACTCATCAGCCTGTACATTTAAAAATGAGTACTTACTGTATGTAAATTATCCTTAAATTTATTCAAACAAAGAATTATGACAGAGTGCTTGCTGTACTCAATATCAAGTCTCCCTTCTTTAATAGCAATACTTTAAGTTTATTGGGGATAGCAATGTATGGAGCTAAAAGGTGCATTTGTAAGCCCTCTTCCCTCCCTCCACAACAGCTAGATTATATCCATGTGACTAAGCTCCCTAGCAATGACATGTAAGTAGAAGTGCTGTATTTAACTTCTAAGAAGTGGCTTAAAGGGAGCTAACTTGCCTGGAAAAAATTGCCCTTTTTTCCACCCCTACTTCTAACTGCTGCTTGGCAGGTAGACACAATGAACTGGCCTCTCACAGCCGTCTTGGACCATCAGGAAGGATGGTGATAATGAGGATGGTGGCACCAGGAATTTGGAGCTTCTTAGGTCCCAAATGACCAGATAACCACCATACCAGCTTTGGACCTCCCACCTTTAGACTTTTTTATATGAGAGAGAAATAAGCCTCTATCTTATTTAAGCCATGCTTGTTTTGGATTCTTCTGTTACATGCACCCTATATTCAGCTAATTCTAGTTGAATGTATTCTCTAGAATCAGACTGAATTCAAGTGCCAGCCCTGCCACTTACTAGCTGTGCAGCCTTGGGTAAATCATTTCATCTCTGAGTCTCTTCTTCCTCATTTGTAAAATGGTGTTAACAATACACATCTTGCAGGGCTAATATGAAGGACTCAGTCAAAGCATACCTTAAATATCTAGAAGATGGTTTCTCCCTTGTCAGCAGAGGAGCAGGTTTCCCCTTTCCCAGAGAAGAGTTTCAACATACAGAGTGAATGGCTTCATGGCCCACCATCTTCACCTCAATGCATTTGACAAAAATGCTCTATCCTTGGGCTCTCACAGCCTTTGGTCATACATCTTTAAAGTGCTTTCCACATTGTAGTTAATGTATCTCTATTTGTCTATCTTCTCCTATTCCCCAGAGATCAGACATCCAATATCCCTTCTACTAGTTGATATAATTTGGAGGTTTGTCCCCTCCAAATCTCATGTTGAAATGTGATCCCCAACTTTGGAGATGGGGCCTGGTGGGAGGTTTTTGGGTTATGGTGGCAGATCTCTTATGAATGGCTTGGTGCCTTCCTCTCAATAATGAGTGAGTTCTCATTCTATTAGTTCACATGAGATCTGGTTGTTGAAAAAAAAAGTCTGGCATCCAGGCACAATAGCCCATGCCTGTAATCCCAACACTTTGGGAGGCAGAGGAAGGAGGATCACTTACATCCAGGAGTTTGAGACCAGCCTGGGCAATACAGTGAGATCCCCATCTCTACAAAACATTTTTAAAAAATTAGCAAGGCATAGTGGTATATGCCTGTAGACCCAGCTACTCGGGAGGCTGAGGTGAGAGGATTGCTTGAGCCTGGGAAGTTAACGCAGCTCTGAGCTATGATTGCACCACTGCGCTCAGCCTGGGCAACAAAGTAAGTGAGACTCTGTCTCAAAAAAAAGGCAGGGCATGGTGGCACATGCCTGTAATCCCAGTCCTAGCTACTGGGGAGGCCGAGGTGGCAGAATCATTTCAACCCAGGAGGTGGAGTTTGCAGTGAGCTGAGATCACGCCACTACATCCCAGCCTAGGTGACAGAGTGAGACTCTGTCTCAAAAAAAAAGGAAAAAAAAAATATTCTTGTTCCTCTCTCCCTTTCTTTGCTCCATCTCTCACCATGTGACACACCTTCCTCCATGAATGAAAGCTTCCTGAGGCCTCACCAGAAGCTGAGCAGATGCTGGTGTCATGCATGTACAGCCTGCAGAACTGTGAGCTAAATAAACCTCTTTTCTTTATAAATTATGCAGTCTCTGGTATTCTGTTATAGCAACACAAAACAGAATACTATGCTAGTCTTCTAGAACAACCCTTCTGAGTCTAATTAATTGAACAAATACTGTGCCTACTACGTACCAAGAGTGCCTACTACGTACCCAGTTTCAGGCTAGATGTGGGGACAAAGAGGTAGATTAGACATGATTCGTGTCCTTTTATATCTCATGATCCAGTAGGAGATATGGACAAGTAAACAGGTGAGTATAATTTAACATCGTGTACTTAAGTACAATAACAGATGTGAACTTAACCACAAGAGAACGCAAGAAAATGTCAGCTCTGTGAAAGTGGGGACTCTGTCTTGTTCACTGTTAATAGGCACTCAGTAAATATTAAACGAATGAATGATATTATGATGGCACAACAAAGAATACTGAAGCCAGGTGAAATAGCAGAGGAGGTGAAAAGGGAGAAGGGCAGTTGGCCTCCTGGATGAGGTGAGGCACAGATGCTTTTTAAAGGAAAAGTGGGGTGTGGAGGGCATTTCAGAGGGATGGCAGGGAGGTGAGAAGTAGCACAGCAAGCGCTTGGGAACAAGTAGCTCTTTGTTGTGGGAGTACAGAATTCAAGGCTGGGAGAGAGGAAAGCTAGGGCCAGATGACAGAAGACCTTGCAATCAATGGCATAAGAAGCTTCAGTTTTGTCCCAAAGAAGATGTGAAGGCAGTAGAGCGATTTAAGCTGAAGAGAGATAGGGTCAAATGTACACTTAAAGTAGGTCACTTTGACAACAGTGTGACAAATGGATTTGAGCAGGGCAAATGGAAGCAGATTACTTAGCTAGTTGTTTCCATAGGCCAAAACAGAGATGAGAACCTGAATCAAACCATGGCAGTGGGACAGAGAGTAAGAGATGGAGTTGAGAAATGTTTATTGGGTAAAATTAGCAGGATTGGTGACTGAATGGGTATAAAAAAGTGAAGGAGGGTTAAGGGCAATTCTCAGATTTCTGACTTGGGTAACTAGGGATAGCAGTGGTTCTCCAAAATAAGGAACCTAGGAGGAGCATGGTTTGGGGGACCTGCCCAGTCTAGTTGAGACATGCCGAGTTCAAAAAGCAATGGGACACTCAAGTGACTGTCCAGCAATTATTTCTGTATCATTCTAGAAATCATATGTCAGAGTCATAAACTGGAGATTCCGGAGTCTTCAGAACTCCTCAAGCTGATTTATTGGCTCATCCATCTGAGGATGGAGCTTTCTGCCTTCACGCACAGCTGGACTCAGGGCTCAAACCTCATGAAGTTTCCCTCAGTACCAGCTTCTCTTCCTGTGATAGACTCTTTCTCTTCTGATATTGTGATGAAAAAGTTGGCCACTCACCACCCCAGGCCCCCATCTTTACAACTCATAATACAAAAGTAAGACAATCTTGCTTATTAGGTCTAGCAGAAAAAACCTAGAAAGGCCTCTGATTGGCTCAACTTAGCTCAAGTATTCATTACTTAATCGCTGTGATCAAGGAAAGGAGGTAACATGGCTCAGTCTAGGTCAGTCTAGTGAGGGAGGAATTCTTCAGTGGGACTAGAGAGATGAAAATGTATGCTGCGCAGAAAAAAAAAAAAAAACAATGGTTTTAATAGTTTGAATGGTCGTTGAAATTATGAGAATGAATTTTGATATCTAGGGAGAATTTGTAGATTGAAAAGAGCAGGAGGCAGAGAAAACCGTCATTTTCAATGGGAAGGTGGAAGAAGAGGAGTTCTTTAAGAAGAAATAGACTATTATGAGAATGAGGGGAGTTCGCTGTTATGGAAGACAAGAAAGAAAAATGTTTCCAGGAGGAATAGGAGTTAACCACAGTGTCAGTGCAGTAGAGTAAGGTAAGGACTTGGCAATTTTAGTGAGAGCAGTCACTCTCGGAGAATGTTCATGACATGGGCATGAAGCCAAACTGCAGTTGGTTGAGGAGTGAACATGAACGTAGACAAGTTTTTAGAGAAGTTTGGATGAGAGCAGGTTAGCATCTGGATGACAGCTGGAAGGGAACACATTCCCACTCTTGGATCTGAAGCTGTAGCACCAGCCCCACTACCCTGGATTGTATATCTGTTTGGATTCTGGATGCCTGCCTGGACTACATTAGCTGAGTTCTTGATCTCAATTTTCAATCCCTCTTCCACCCCTGTCCGCTCCAACCATTCAACATATGACCCAGGCCCATGGCTACCATTATTGCCTGTGAGCTTCCCATTCTTTCTTTGGCTTGATTGCCCCTTCCTTCTCAACATGCCATATAGTTGGAACTATCAAAGCTGCATCTTATTGGCAGCTAGTACTGATAGCAGAATACTAGCTATTTTTTAATCCTATTTTGTGTAGTAGTAGACAGTTCAATAGCTTATTGAATGTGTGAGCACTTCATCATCCATACCCTAGCCACTTATTCTTCCTTTCTACCTCACAAAATGTTTCTCTCCTTTCTCTAAAACTAAATCTACCACCTATATTCTGAATTCCAGCCCTTACTTTATTTAGGGTGTTGCTGTTTTAATAAACTGTTTTCCTTAGGGCATATCACTTTTTCTCATGAGCTCCTTCCTTTTTTACTGTTAAATATGCACATATCCACTGACTAAAAAAAAGTTGTGGGCCAGGCATGGTGGCTCACGCCTGTAATCCCAGCTACCCAGGAGGCTGAGGCAGGAGAATTGCTTAAACCCAGGAGGTAGAGGTTGCAGTGAGATCGCACCACTGTACTCCAGCTTGGGCAACAGAGCAAGGCTCTGTCTCAAAAAAAAAAAAAAAAAGAAGAGTTGTGGATTTGGTTTTTTTTAACTTGCCTTACGTTATCATCCTTTTAGCTACTGTACTGTCATGTAGTGGAAAGAGCAGTGAACCAGAAATGAAAAAAACTAAGTTTTAGTCTGGGTCCTTCCAACAACATTAGGTAAATGACTTTCCCTCTCTGAACCTGTTTTTCATTGGTAAAATGAGTAAATTGAAACGATTATCTCTAACATTCTTTTAATCTCTAATGTTCTGTGGCTGATCTGAATCTACAAATAAGGAACAAATATTAGGAGCCTCCATCTCCTACCTATCAATACTTTTGGGGTGCTTAGGTAGCACATATACTAAAATTGGAACAATGGGGAGAACATTAGCATCGCCCCTGTAGAAGGATGGCATACACATTCATGAACACTTCCATATTTTTATTTAAATAAATAAATAAAATATTTGGTTGCGTGGTGGCTCACACCTATAATTCCAGCACTTTCGGAGGCCAAAGTGGGCGGGTTGCTTGAGCTTAGGAGTTCAAGACTGGCATGGGCAACATGGCAAAACCCCGTCTCTACAAAAAATAAAAAAAATTAGCCATGGTGGCGCACACCTGTAGTCCCAGCTACTAAGGAGGACAAGGTGGGAGGATAACTTGAGCTTGGAAGGCAGAGTTGCAGTGAGCTGAGACGGCGCCATACAACACTCCAGCCTGGGCAACAGAGTGAGACCCGGTCTCAAAGAAAAAACAAAAATTTAAAAAAATAAAAAGTAAAATACATTTGAAGCCTTTCTTCCTGAGAAATATAAAAATGGCCTTTGTATCCAGTTATCTATTGCCACTACAATACTGCATTTTGAAACACTCAAAATTCAGTAGCTTAACACAGTAAGTATTTATTTAGTTCTTGAGTTTGTGGGTCAGCAACTTAGGCTGGGTCCAGCTGAGCAGTTCTTCTGGTCAAGGTGAGCTCACTTGTATATCTGGTGGTCATTTGGTTGTATGCTGATCTCGGATGACTGGGCTCTGTCCCATATGTCCCACAGTCTAACATAGGCATGTTCTCAAAGAGACAGCAGAGAAACCAGAAAAATGCAAACACACAAAGCCTCAAGTTTCAGGGTCCGAATTGACACACCATTACATCTGTCTTTTTTTTTTTTTTTTTTTTTTTTTTTTTTTGAGACGAAGTCTCACTCTGTTGCCCAGGCTGGAGTGCAGTGGCACGATCTTAGCTCACTGCAACCTCTGCCTCCCAGGTTCAGGCAATTCTCCTGCCTCAGCCTCTTGAGTAGCTGGGATTACAGGCATGTGCCACCATGCCCAGCTAATTTTTGTATTTTTAGTAGAGATGAGGTTTCACCATGTTGGTCAGGCTGGTCTCAAACTCCTGGCCTCGTGATCCACCCACCTCGGCCTCCCAAAGTGCTGGGATTACAGGCGTGGGCCACCATGCCCAGCCTACATCTGTCACATTTTATTGAGCAAAGCAAGCCATCGAGATGTAAGGAGTGGAAGAATGGAGAGGAACTGCAGTCACAGGCAAAGGGCATGGATTCAGGCAAGAGCAAAATATTGGGACCACTAGTGCAATCAGTTTTCTTAATTCTCACTGTTTTTTTATCATGCCTCGGCACCTAGCTTGTGATAGCTATTACTATCCACTTTCCTTTTAAGTAACTCAACACATTTCCCAAACACCTACTTTGTGCAAGGCACAAAACTTTCTTTGAAAGGGTAATAGCAGAGCAGAAAGCACCAAGGCTTTGGAGTTCAGACAGACCTATATTCACGTTCCGCCTCTGCCACTTACTGTGGGCAAAGTATTGAATCCAAACTTCTTCCTTTTCTGAAAAAAAATGGAGGGAATGATCTCACAGGGTTAGTACTAGATGAAGAGAGCAATGTGAAAATCCATGGCAGGTAAGTGTTAGCCTCATAATTTTCTCCTCCTTATCTTCCTGGCTCCTTTTCATAGGTCTATCATCCAGCAACTGTGATTGTCATCAAGAATGTGCCTGGGATACAGTGTTCTCTCAACATGCATCACATCTGTAAGCTTAAATTTACACTTCTAGCTATGACTTCTATAATACTACCCTCCATGTGCCTATTTTCAGTGGTCTGTAGAATATCACCACTGTGACAGCCAAAGTCAGCTCCTCCACAACTGTTAGCACACCATTCTTCCCGACTTCAGACATAAAGGTTAGAAATCGATTCACACTCTTTTCTTCCCTCTACCCTCCTCCAAATCCAATTTCCCACCATGTCCCCAATTATTCCTTTGAGGTCACTTTCATCAAGATTTTCCCCTTGAAGGCACCCTATTTCCCACCACACTAAGACCTAACATCACAATTCCCTGGTTTTCAATACCTCCTCTCAATAATTTGGTCTTATCTTAGCCAACTAGCTTCTTCCATTTCCCAATTCAGTTGAATTCACTTCAACTTCTGCATTCTCATTAGAAAATGGGTATATATCCAAAGGATTACAAATCGTTCTACTATAAGGACACGTGTACACGAATGTTCATTGCAGCACTGTTTACAATAGCAAGGACCTGGAATCAACCCAAATGCCCATCGATGAAAGACTGGATAGGGAAAATGTGGCACATATACACCATGGAATATTATGCAGCCATCAAAAACGATGAGTTTGGGTCCTTTGTGGGGACATGGAT